GCTGCCAGCGAGCAAGTGCACAAGTGTGCAATGGAATCACGTAATGATTTATTGCTAAAAACAAACAATTCCACCATCCAACGCAAGCGATTACATATGATAATAATGAAGACGATGACGAAGTTGAGTTAATAATAATAATAATAAAAACGAGGTGCAAAAACAACAGCCTATTAGATTTTCCATAAAAAAAAAAAAGAAAAACAGAAACCTATCAGCTGGTTGGAACTCCTTTCCTCTTCATTAAACTTAATTTCCTACTTGAAATTACCTTTATTTTCGGCTTTTTCTAACTGTCTACTAATCTTCATTTCATTACATTCTTATGATCCCGTTGCGCTCGTTTCATACTATTAGATTTTGCCCTTCCTAAAACCATTTTGTCCCTTCAGAAATCACAATTTCACACCCGTTTCACTGTAATTTGATTTAAAAACGACCTAATGAAAAAAAAAAAAAATCGCCTTAAAGTCAACACTCTCCGAATCTTTCCCCTCCGCCAGCGCAGCCCCCTTCCTTCCGACTCATACCTCCCAGATAAGGGGCACAATTATCCGAAGTGACGCTGATGATAAAAATTATGAACACAGTACCCATTCTCTCGCCGCAACCCCATCTACGGATTGCTCGGAAATAAGTTGATGGCCGATCTGACTCCCTGTCATCTAAAAATACCACCATTTACCATCGAAACGAATCGGAGATTTAGTAGTTCGCCAATAACATACTTCAGCCACTGACCCGGCTTCCCGCAGCGCAATTTACCATTTCACCAAGCCCACAAAGAGGAAATGTTGGAAACCAGCAAAACTGGAAAATGTATCACGGTATTCCCCAACCACTCCCTGTGCAGTTGCCATGAATGCCACAAAGACAGCCAAACCAATGAGTGGTGAGCCAGATCGGCTAACCGGATTCCTTCAGAATCGGAAATTCTTAAAATGAATGTTCACAGATAAAAAACAATGCGAGCAACTAAAATCATTCGTAAAAGAGAACAAATAAGCCTGGAGGCGCATGAAGGTGATTCATAAAAAAGAAAGAATATATGCGCCATTTAAAAAATAATAAATTTTATGGAATTTGAAACACTTCCGTGTGGATGGCACGGCGGATTTCTGCTTCTCAACGACTGCGAGACGACGAGGAGCGCGAACGCGACCGTGAGCGAGTTCTAGATCTGCAAATCCATTTCTCAGACTGCGCTCAGACAGACACTCTCCTGTCATTGAAGAACGAAAACTTGCGACTTTACAGTCACCCTCAAAAGCAAATCCCTTCATCCCGGATCAGACTGGATATTCGGTGGCTGGGTGTGTGTGTGTGTGTGTGTGTGTATGCCTAATCAAAATGTACGAAAATAAATCATTTCAAATAGAGAACATTTTTTTGGGACGTTCAGAAAGAAAATTTTTCGATTACCTTCTGCGTCGTTCACGGCGCGGTGGCGTACGTCTGCAAAAAGACACACATTACTAGGCAGAAGCGAAGCTCACGTAGTCCACGTAATTAAACTGTGTGGACAGCAAAAGATTTCTCTACAACAAGACCATACACCACGAAAGATTTGCTTGAAATTTCTACAAGAACAAAACCAAGATTTATTCCGAAGTGCTACTGTACAGTCGAAAAATACCCAGGATTTCCTTGAAAGCTCCTATCAACCCACGGGAGGTAGGGACTTCACAAAAACTTTCAGCAGAAACAGGAGA